CCCCCTGCTCGTCGCCGGCCTGGCCAGGGCCGCCTACCCGGCCGAGCTCCGCTTCATGTACTTCGTGGACGGCCGGGGACCCGACCAAGGCTTCCGCCAAGTCAAGGAGGCCATCCTGCGCTGTAAGCTCTGTGAGGAAGGGATGGGGAGGGGGAAAGGGTCAGCATCGATCTGCTTGGGCCTTCAGGAGATAGCCCTGTAGCCCAGGAGTTCAACACGTAGGCTCTGAAAGCAGTGTGCTTCTTGGGCCGTTACTGAACCCCTCTGTGCCTGGTGTCCTCATTGGGACACGAGAATGATACCATGTACCACAATCAGTATATACACTAAGTACGTGTTCAGAGCAGGGCCTGGCACATGGAAAGTGCTCATAACAGGCACCTATCAAGGCCTCAATAAGTCTTAGCCATTGTTAGCATTCCTCGTGTGAGTTTCTCTCACGCAGGCCAGGTTGGAGGAACATCTGTTTATGTATATAAAAGCCTAAGTGACCATTATGACCAGTCGACCGCTTGACCGGTTGCTATGACCCATACTGACCACCAGGGGGCAGAGGCTCAATGCAGAAGCTGCCCCCTGGTGTTCAGAGCACTCCCACAGCCAACTTCCCACAGCTGGACAACTTCCGGCAGTCCCTCCCCCTGGTCAGCCGGCCCTGATCAGCCCGATTGCAGGCCAGGCCCAGGGACCCCACCTGTGCACAAATTTGTGCACCGGGCCTCTAGTGGTTTAGTAAGGCAAGAAGAGGTGTAAAATAATGGGGAAGAATTGCCTCTGATAGGGGGAGGACATTATATTACAGGGGGAAGTAAAATAGATTAAAAAAATTAGAAGAGCCCTGGCCAGTGTGGCTCAGTTGGGTGAGTGTCCTCCCAGGCACCAGAAGGTTGTGGGTGTGATTCCCTGTCAGGGCACACACCTAGGTTGCAGGTTCAGTCCTGGTCAGGGTGCATACGGGAGGCAACCAATCCGTTTCTCTCTCACATCGACATTCCTCTCTCTTTAAAAAAAAAAAAGCCAATAAAGACAGATTTTTTAAAAAAAGAAGAGGTGGAGACATGTTGGGGGAGGGTGACAAGCCCTGTGATTCTCTTTGGTCTCTTTCAGATCTGCAGCACCTCAGCTGACACTCTGCCATCACCGAGGGACCCAGGACGCTGGCACAAGCTGGAAATCAAGCGAGAGAGCGCGCAGGGCCTGGACCCCGTGGCCTGACAGGGCCCAAGGAGCCACAGTTGGTAGCGTTTTGTATGTGATGCCGGGATCAGATTGCCCAGAGGGCTTCCATTATTGTGGGCTCCCCAAGAAGGCCCTGGAGAAGCTGGGGACTCCCCTGGAAGGCGCTGGGGAAGCTGGGGACTCCCCCAGGAAGGCCATGAGGAAGCTGGGGACTCCCCAGGAAGGCCAGGGGGAAGCCAGAAAGGGTTTGTAGGAGGTGCTGATACCAAGATGACCACCCGTGTTTTGCCTCCTCCTTATGGGACGTGAGTCTGGCACATCCCTATGTCTTCTTCCCCTGGGATCGGGCTCTGGTGTAGAGATGCCTTCCTCCTGAACAGGTGGCTCACCTGGTGAATCAGCTAGAAGCCCAGGGGGCATGTTTGTTTATTCCTGTTGCCGGGGAAACCCTGGGACAGATGTCAGCAGGAAGGCACAGGTGTTGGGTTTCTCACCCTCACACTGCTGCCTTCTCTTCCCCTTTACTCACTTTAGAAAGCTACATGGACCTGCACTCAGCACCGTGCTGTATGTATTTTACTGCGTGCAGGTCATGAAAGACTCAACTCTAGAAACCATTCTGAATTAGACTATTGAGGGCAGGGGGCGAGCTGGGGTGGGGGGGTGGTAAAGAGAAGGAAAGCTCAGACCTTTGATGTGAGATCAAAAGCCCGCCCGCCCAAGCTTTGACATGTGGGGCCGCATTAGGGGTCTGGCTGGAGCCCATGCTTTGCAGTAACTTCTTCACCTCTGCACCGAGAGAAACCAGCATTTTTCTCCTGCCAGAGGACTGTGTGCCCTTGTAGGACAGGCAAGGTTCCTTCATCAGTTCTCAGTAAAAGTTGATTGTTGAACCGAAATCAATCTCATTCCCCCAATGTGTGCTATTGTGCCTCTTCCTTCACTTCCCCCTCCTTTTACTGAAAAATATTTATACATATATTATATATATTTGTAATTGAGATACAATTGGCATATTACATTATGTTTCAGGTGTATGAGTCGATATTTGTATATATTGTGAAAATTTTTTATATTGTTAACTATGAATTATTTTATTACACACAAAAGGGCTAAAGCATACTGTCGTGTACACTCACGTACCTTCCACCCAGCTGAAGAAGTAAAACGTTACCACCCCTAGGGTATTCCCTCTGTGCCCAAATTTTCGTCCAAATTAGTTGTGTCAAGTTATGTCCTTACCACTTGTGTATGAGTTCCCACTGTTTGATGTTCATGCTAACACTTAGAATGATCAGATTTGAAAATGTTTGCTAATCTGATGGGTGAAACCTGGTATCCTATTATCATAATATTCTTGTTTTCCTTCTTATCTTTTTTATGAAGATTTGGTGAATCCCCATATGTCCAATGCCCAGCTTCAACAATTACCAACCCAGAGCTAAGCTTATATCAACACTAGAGGCCCGGTGCACAAAATTTGTGCACTGGGTTGGGGGGGGGGTGTCCCCTCAGCCCAGCCTGCCCCCTCTCACAGACTGGGAGCCCTCAGGGGATGTCCTACTGACGGCTTAGGCCCACTCCTTACTATGGTTTTTAATAACCTTGATAACTTATAGGTCAGTCCTTTCTACTCTGCTTTTTCATCAAAACCACTTTGATTTATTCCTTTCTTCTTTTATAGAAATTATTTATTTTGTCAAGTTTTAGGAAAATGCCTGGTTTTTGTTTGTTTTGTTTCTCTACTGGGCTGACATAGAGTTGAGAGATTCATTTTGGAAGAATAGATTTTTTTATGATATGTGTCCCTTTTTTGATGCTTTAAATGTATTTCAATAAAGCTTTATAATCATTCTCCATGTCAGTCAGTCGAATCTTTTATTCAGTTTATTCCTTAGTACTTCATATTTTCTGTTGCTAGTGTAAATATTTTTAAATTATATATTTTTTATCTATTACTGGTAGGAAGTATTGCAATTCATTTTGCACACTGATCTGATATTAAGCAGACCACTGAATTGTTTATTCTCTAAGACCACAGACTTTATTGTTTCTATAAAGATGATCATAAAGTTTGAAAACAGAAACTTCCTTGTTTCCTGGGCTGCTGCGGACCGCCAGTAAAATGCTGAAAGTGGCCATAGCAGCCATCTTTGTCTCCTTTATGATTTTAAAGGGAATACTTCAAACATTTCTCCATGAAATGTGATATTCGATGTAGGTTTTTGGTTTGGTACATATTTTTTAACAAGTTGTAACTATCCTGCTGTTTCTAGTTACTTACCTTGAATAGGCTTTACATTTAATCTAAAATGTCCACATTTGATTTCAGAGAGTAAGGGAGAGGGAGAGAGAGAGAGAAACATCAATGATGAGAGAGAATCATTAATTGG